TTGTTTTCTAAAACTGGCTTATTTAAATCTAAACAATGCCTGCGCTATATCTTGTGGATGAAACTTGTCATCACACAGATTTGCTCATATTACCAATTAGCAAGGGCGTGCTGTATGACAGCCTTGAGTGTATGTTAATCACTCTCTGTAATAGTGAGGTAGAACACACTTCACGACTGCCCTGGTCTCAGAGATGTAGTGGGGCGCACTCAGAAGACTAATACTGGGTCGCAGTGTATGGCACCGGGCTCGGTTTGATCATCAATAGTTATGTGCCACCGAATCAATATTGTACGGTGCTCTTTAAAATCGTTGAAGGTCCCACTTTGCTCACAGGATTGCCCTATGCACCAAAATGCAACCTGTCGAGGCAACGCCCCTGCGATTTTGAAATTTTTTTTCTTGCAAAAACCTCCCCTGGCAATCGGATGACAGGTGTAGTAATGCATAAAGAACAAACCCATGAAACCCACATACTTTCATTTATATTTTTGTATAGATAGATCTTCTTGTTTAATTGAAAACTTTTCTTCTCGCACATATCAAGAAAATAAAAATAATAAAAAGAACAATGAAATGTAAACAAATGTCTCAATAACTGTGTCGCGATATTTAATCTTAAATTCCACAGGTATGTCTAGTATTTTCTTCTTACATTTTACTGCTTCGCTTTTTTGTGACTCGCAATTTCCCAAGACCCAAAAAAGTTTAAATAAATTTGTTTAAAGAATAAGTAGATTACAAAAAAAATTTCAACTTTTCAAACATTTGTCCATGTAAAATTATGAAATAATTAGCCGAATAAAATTTAGGCCGATGCTAGCCGGAAAAAGATATGAATGCGCAATGGAGAGAAACTACGACTTGCAATTGCGGTGATGTTTTCGATGGAACTGCGCATGCGTGTGTTTACAACCGCAGAACCCTAGCCTTAACCCTAACCCCACCCTATCCCTACTCCTAACCATAGGTCACTGCGCATGCGCAGAACTATCTTTTGCCGACTTAGTGGAGACGTTGGGGAGAAAAATCTTTTTCAGGGTAGTCACTTCGTACTAACCCTAATCCTAGCCCTAACCCTATCTCTATCTCTAATCATAACCCTAGACGTAGGTCACTGCACATGCGCAGAACTATCTTTTGCCAACTAAGTGGAGACGTTGGGGCGAAAAATCTTTTTCCGAGTTGTCATTTCGACGTACTAATAAATACTATTAAATATGGCTACTTAAAGTAGTACTTATTTAAAAAATAGATCTAGATTAACAATTCTGAATTCTAGATCTCTAGCTCTAGATTATTATAATTAAATTTATCTTTATTTGATTTAGAAACTAGAGTCTAGATCTGTGGCTACTAGCTAGATCTAGCCTAGTCTCTAGATTCTAGATATAATCTAAGTCTAGTCTAGAATAGATCTAGTCTAGAATCCAGAATCTATAAACTTAAACAATAATCTAGCTAGATTAGTAGTAGAGTAGTAGATTCTTAGATCCTAGTCCTAGATCTAGACTAGTTCTAGTACTAGATCTAGATCTAGATTTCTAGATCTAGTAGATCTAGAATCTAGATTATCTGATTATGAAATATGAATCTATCTACTAGATTCTAGCTAGACTAGACAAACTTAGTGGATCTAGAATCTACGTAGACTACATGCATAGATCTAGTGCTAAAAGATTTAGATGTAGGGCCTAGATGTCGATCTAGATCAAGTACATACAAATAAGAGTCCACTGAAAATGAATAGACATTATTTCCCACTTTAGACGACGCTGCCATCTTGATTTAAGATTTAAGACTTTTGCGGGTTAAAAACGAAAATGAGCAGAGGTCGGTCAATTTATTTTAGTTATTATTGGCCACTAATCGTGAATGTAAAAAAAAAAACCCCGCAACATTATTATTCAAGACTTAATTGATTTAAAATTAAGCCCACAATTACGTAATATTAATATAACTTTTAATATTTGAACTGCCAAAAAGGCATATGATTTTTTGTTTACAACACAACCAATAAAATCGCAGTTTCCAATTTTGACAGTAACTAATGGATACCGTCCTACCCAATACAGTTTCGTATTGTTCTCTGTAGCAGTAAAATTGGAAATTGGAAATTGGTCAGCGGCCGAGCGTCTAAGCGGCGGTGATGTCATTCCTCTGCGTAAGCGCGCCGGTGGGCTAGTCGCGCGTGTGCTTTCACCGTAAGCGCGGCGGTGACCTGTAGGTAAGATAAACATGTGAAATGATTTGATAAGAGGTTGATCATTTACCTTTGGTTTAACTAGAATAATTTTGTTTTTTATTTCAACATAGAAACAAAAACGAAATGCAATGCGAAAACACGGTCGATTTTGTTTATTGATAAAAATGGGTCTGAATCGAGTACATCTTTGTAAAAGCAGTACTATTGGACTGTGAAGAAGGCGTTGCTCAAAGTAACATGATCTACGCCCATAAAACACAACGGCTTATTTAGGCATCGCTGTGAGAGCAAGATAGAACGTTGCTGATTTCAATTTGTTTTTCAGCAGGGTAAGCTTCTCTGTTGACTAGGGGGACAGCGTTCGTTCTAGTCGGCAGGGTTGTCTCTGGTTTCTCTGCCAACCATTTTATATTCAAGGGAGGTAACCGATACATGCGGAAAAACAGGATATGTAACTCTGTTTGAGATGATTGTCATAATTACCCCATCTGTCCATCCGAATTCGACGGGGTTTCCAACAAAAGACAACAGAACAGTTGTTGATCCTGCACATTTCAAAGAAAAAGACGTTCTTCAAAATGCAATGCACACTGTAAATATGGTGTTTGTGCTAAATAAATGTCAAAAGGACGATTGGTGGCTTATTCAACATTCAGCACACATTCAGAATGGTGCGATATGGGTTTTCCCTATAAATACATGACCAAACTGAGCTACTGTGTACTGTTAACGCAGTACATATATTAAAATTGGAACGATACAGAGAAGATTAGCATGGCCCCTGCAAGGAGGAACCTACGCATTCTTCTCTGTTTTGCGAGCCGAGCGCGGAGCTAGAATTTTTTTCATTGGCCGGTCCTTTCCAATTTTGTAAACATGACAAATCTAGCCTACAGTAAGCTTCCCGTCTTTGCCATTGGTTCAGTTTCAGCAAAAATTGGTCGTGGCAATCTGATTGGCTCTGGTGGAAAATTGGAAACGAAAAGTTGGTATTTGCACACGTGTGTTACTAAAAATAATAAAAATGACTTTATCAATGCGATTCTGACCTAGATGGTCCCTGTCGTTAATGTTTTCATGCGCGCCGTTGTATTATTGAAATTCATACGCGCGCCGTGTCAACACAGCGTAGTAAATCACTAACACTAATGACTTAAAACTTAATCACTCTAATTAATGGGCGCATACTAATTAATGAAATCGGTGTATTCGTGTAGCTTAGTGAATCTTCTACGCATATGATTCATTCTTTTTATTTTAATGTAACTAAATACAAGCATACGTAATTTTTTTCACCAAGTCTAAGTCTAATATATAGATCTATATATTATAGCAAGCTTAATTCGCTAATTCGCTATGCTAATGTTAGTTAATAGGAGATGCGCGCTTTGAGAGACTACCGTCTGTTGTTTTTTTTTTAGATTAGATAATCTATGTATTTTTAAAATGTAGGGACATATAAATCTCGTGTTCTTGACTGTTTGACTAATTCCACTAATTGAGAAGTTGTTTATTTCCTTTGGTTTAGTACTTTGTAATTTCGTTTATTAGCGATAGTTAAGAATAGATTTATTTATGCCAATTAAGGAAGCAGCAGTAGGCAAACAGTTGCAGTAAACATGACAGAAAGTGTAGAAAAACAACACAAATATGAAGCTTTGCAATAAAATACTTTATTTACTTGAAATGTAAAAATAACGACACTCCTTTATGACAGGAGTACAATTTTCAACAACAATAACAATGTAGAAGAAAATCTCTTCAGAATACAACTTTTTGGATACAGTATTCAAAACATTAATAACAATAAATCTAACAATTCTGTAAAGAATTCTTTTAGGTATTTAAAAAAAATACTACATTAATGTAATGTAGACAAAAAAAGCTATTTCCAACAATACATGATTTCTTTCACACCAAAAAAAAACTACATTAATGTAATGTAGAAAAAAATGAAGGCTATTGCCAACAATACAAGATTGCTTTCACTTAAAAAAAAACTACATTAATATAATGTAGAAAAAAATGAATGAAGGCTAGTGCCTACAATACAAGATTGCTTTCACATAAAAAAAACTACATTAATATAATGTAGAAAAAAATGAATGAAGGCTAGTGCCTACAATACAAGATTGCTTTCACATAAAAAAAACTACATTAATATAATGCAGGTAAAATAAAGGCTATTGCCTACAATAATAGACTGCTTTCACACAGAAAAAAAAAACTACATTAATGTAATGTAGAAAAAAATGAATGAAGGCTATTGCTTACAATACAAGATTCATTTTACAAAAAGCCAACAATATACTACACTTGTTAATAATTGAGTAACAATGTAGAAAATAAAAATATGTTAGGCTGAGGCCATATGTAAATAGAAGTTATAAGGTTGATGTAATAACATAACATTGCAAGCCTACTTAATTGAATAATAACTTGTACTTTACAAGACCCAAATTCTAATGATCATTTACAATTGTAAGAAAAATGATGGTAAAAAAAATGCCAAGAGTAGTTGCTTAATTAAAACCATAATTAAATTGATCAGCAAAACTGATGCTAAAGACAGGTATTGGTTATATCATAAGAAAAATGACAATTCTTCTTAGAAATAAAGTACAGTGGTTAATTAAAACCATAATTATATTAATCAGCAAAACTGATGGTAAAAACAGGTATTGGTTATCAATTGAAACCAAAATAAAATTGATCAGCACAGCTGATTAATAAAAATAAATAAATAAATAACAATGAATGAAATAAATACATACATACAATAATTTACAATAATTTACAACTTTCTTTTTTGGCCAATTTTATTTTTGGCCTCCTCAACAAATTGTTCATAAGTTAAGTTACTTGAAACAGGGCAGTAACTGAAGCCTTTGTACCCCTTGTGGCCTGTTTCAAGCAACTTAGGCTGGCTACACTTTGAGCAAGTGTTGAATTTCTTCTGCCTGACGTTCACTCTACCCACCTCATCTGCTTTACGCTTCCTTGTGGAGAGGCGGGCAGAGGCCACTTGCTCAACATCAGCCGGAACAATCTGCTGAGGAACATCCATAATGATGGCTGCTGGTTCAGGCTGGTTTGCTGGTTTTTCCTTCCTGCGTCGCTTTGTGACTGCAGTGCCGCTGTGATCTTCCACCTCCCCCACAGCGTCGAAATAGGGTCCTGGTACCTCTAGTCTTGTGGGCTGGGCAGGAGGTAGAAGTGGTTCTTCTGCAGTCATTGGGGGGGCAGGAAGGTCCATACCTTGAACCAGCGTGGCCTTCTCCATCTTTTTCTGCTTCCTACTATACCTGATAGAAATTAATGGTTTTTAATTACTCTGTTTCTAAAAAAAAAATGTAAATGTGGTTTTTTTTAATGATAAAATAATGTGTAAAAATTGTACTGAAACCTACCATTGTAGGAGTGTCCTCTGATTAATGTTGAACAACTGCAGTGAGGTCTCCAGCCTCAGTCTGGCACTGTTGTAGACCAGTTGCTGGATCCTACTGTAGTCGTTCAACACTCTGGACCACCTCGGCACAACCCTCTTGTGTGAGCGCTTGCCATAAGGGTGGAGTAGCACCAACTCGTCGCAGATGGCCTCAACTATCCTGCTGTTGTCTGGCCACTGAGCTGCTGTAGAGTCTCCACCCTCAAAGCTCCTGGAAAACAATTGTTAATTTTTTTTATTACAAGTTAGAATAATGTTTACTAATAAAAATTAAAACAGCACCTAAATTAAAAAGAATGTATCCAACATACCGCTTCACACTAGTGAGTCCTGGAACAACACCACTTCTGACTGTGCCGAAGCGTCCACCCTTTGTTTTTGCCTCATACCTAGGGGCGTATTTCAACCTGCGTTGATCCGCATCAGGGAGGGCCTTGAACATAGGTATCAGGATGTTCACCTGTGCCTCTGTAAGACACCTCTCCTGACGCAGTCCCACTAGGTATGAGGCCAGTTCCTTCACAAGATGGAAACCCTCTTGACCGTCTGGCCCAAGTGCCAACGCATCAAGAGGGATCTGGGGAAGAAAAAATAAATTAAATAACTTGGAAACACTGGTACAACACTTGGTATAAAAATAGTGGCAGAAATTTTATCTGGTAGGATCTACTCTTACCTCCTTCTTGTCTTCTGTCTGGGGAACTGCTAGATCTTCAGCTGCGATGTCAGAGGCAATCACTGGGGGCTCTGAAATGGAGATTGTAGGATCCACTGCTTCCATTTCTGCTGGATCATCTTCCTCCTCAGTTGGGGACAGTGTCTCCAGCAGTTTCTCTCCTTCATCCTCCACATCCACATCAGTGATCACCTCCTCGAAACTTTTGCCTGTCTGGTCAAAGAGGTACTCAATGCCCATCTTCTCCCCTGAAAAAAGAAAACATGGATGTTAATAGGGTAAAAGGAGCTGACATTGCTTAATTGTATTATTAGATTTGAACGCGGTACATACCAGTGTACTCTCTTGGAGCTTGTAACTGGGGATCAAGGTCAGTGTGGAACACTCTTTGACCAAAGGCTCTGTAGGTGGAGCGCAGCTGAAGGTCATAGCAGGTGTAACCATCGGCTTCTTCCCGGTCCTCATTCCAGCGCACAATGCCCTCCAGCATGTATGCTTGAAAATGCATGGCACTGGCAGAAGTCCCTTACAAAAAAATATTAAGATCATGGGTAACATTGTTAAGTGGAGAATTAATGGGTGAAAGCAAGTTATTTAAAAAATAAATGACTTACCGGGAATAAACCGATTTAAGTGGAGATGGAAATTCTCCAGGGCGGTGGTCCCTCGAGCACACTTATAAAGGGGCAGCTCCACACCTCCCTTTTTCAGTGTGCCCACCTTGAAGTACAGGGGTACACCAGGTGGGTCTTGAATACACTTGACGTGTGCTTGTTGTACAGTCCATACCTCAATGAGGCGTTGGGCTTCAAACAGTGGCACACCAAGTGTATCGCAACCCTGGTGTGAGCAGAACAGGGTCACCAGTTGACCGAGGAGGCGTGTTGTTTCCTCAACACCCCTGGTGCACCTCCTGCAGTGGCGTGCCAGTTCCTTACGGCCCAGCTGCTGCTGAATGAAGATATCATCCACATGGATCATCCCCATCTGGGATAGCTCCGACTTCTTGGCCTTGATCAGTCGAGCCATGTCTTCCTTGTCCCAAATGAAGATACAGGCGGACAGCTGGGCCATAAAGACGCTGTACAGCTGGTGGGACTCTGTAGTGGCACAAGAGGCAATCCGGCGCATGAAATGCCAGATGTCTAGCCTGACGAGCATGTCTGGCCAGCCAGAGAACAGGTCAGAGGTACTTCTGCCGTATGCTGAACAGCAGTCCCTGTCCGTGTACAGCAAAACAGGGCTGTCAACGTGGGCATCTTTGTACCTCTTAACCAGTCCCTGTGCCATCTTGTCCACTCCGTGCCCTTCTGCAGCTGTCAGCACACTGGACAGGACCTGCCCATGTTCATTACCAATATTGGTGACCCAAGCAGCTGTTCCACTGGCAGAACCAGCCAGCTTTTTGGTCACCTTCTTGGTGGAGTCCATTTTCAGTATTGTCCCAAAGGTCGACGTCATTTTGGCTTTCAGGTGGTCTAGCCGAGAACAGACTTCCCTAGCATACACAGACCTGAACCATTGTGGCCCAGGGAGGAGCTGCTGTGCTGGTGGGGTAGGGAAGTCAATCTTCTTGACCATCGGCCTTTGGAACTTGCTGCACACAGACATGTACCTGTGGAATAAAACATGGGTGAAGCAACAGCAAAATACAATAGATGTGTACATGCAGCATGGTAAGTTAGATTCATGTTGTAGACAAGCCTTGTAACAAAGATTACCTGATGCTGTTTCTCAGGTATGCTTCCGTGTGCAACTCCATCAACTTCCTGTGTAGCTGGGTAGCGCTGTTGCCTAAGGATCTCTCCTTCATCATGGTAACCACCCTCCTGTCTGCTGCAAACTTGTAGCTAAGGACTGCAGGGAACTGCAGCCTGTGAGCTATGTCCAGCTGACTGAGGATGGCATTACTCCAACTGATGTACTTCCTGTGACAACAGCCACACTCTAAGTACTCAGCACCCATATAATAATAGTCGTCAACATCAACGACACGACGAACCTGTTTGTACAGGCCGCATGCTGTCAGCTGTCGACCATTACATGCAGGTGCCAAGCATTTGAATGGGTATTGCCACATTCTGTAAGGCATCCACAGGAAGAAGCGGTGGGCGAAAAACGCATCAGGCCCAGAGGGTGGCTGGTTGGCCCCTAATGTGGGTTGGGGAGGGAACCACCACAGTTGGAGGTTGTCTTTCAACTGCCCCCTGGGACCAAACAGAGCTTTGGAGATCCATCTGTAATCCTCAGAGGGCAGTGTCTTCCTCCAACCTTCCTTGATGGTAACCTAAGAGAAGATAATGTTTCATTAATAGGAGATAAATATTAATTATACTGGAACAAAAAGTTTAACTTGTATATAACAATTAAAATACAAACCTCTGGGCCATCAGCAACCAACTGAACTTGTTGGGCACCACCAGTACCAGTACCAGAAAGTGTTACTGCAAATTAAAAAACAGGAAAATTAATAATCTTAACATTCACCAGACATGTAGGATATACAAGTTGCTTTTATAATTGTCAGCTCACCACTTGTTTCTCCATAGAGGGTAGTGTATTTTGTAACAACAACAACAGGTGGCTCCAGTGTTGCTGTTGACATTAGGTATATTATGTATGTCATTCAACTACATAATTTGATACTGACATTACACTATTTATTTGAAAAAGGGATTAGGTACCTGTGGCTGGGGGTGGCACTGGCAGATCAACAGAAGGCAGGGGAACAGCAGGTAGAGGCTCCAACTTGGGTCCTGTTGATATTGTATTATAAAATTAAGTACATGGTGCTACTGGTGTGTCACTATTACAATACACATGAATACACATGAATAAAAAATGGTGATATATACCAGTGGGAGGGGCAGACAGAGGCAGAGCAGTTCTGCTACCAGCAGTTGAAGGCTTGGATGGCAGGTTGGATCCTGTACCTGGAAAGTTCATTGTAAAATTAATGTACAGAATATGAAACAGTTATATATGAGAATCACAGTTGCTAAAAAACAAGATTTAACAAGATGAATTAGTCCTACCTGTTGCAGTAAGAGGCAGAGCATCTCCACTCCCAGCCGTAAAAGGTTTAGAAATCTCTGTCAATAGTTTTCTGTCCTGCCTGGACAGCTTGAGATTTGCTGTTGATTAGCCATAAAAAAGTTCAGTTAAAGAAAATGTTTTAATAGATTTAAATTAACTAGCATGTTTAGGTGTCACAGAGCTGGTATTAATTATATATATAAATAAATGGATTTACCTAAAACCTTGCCTGTACTTGGCCGAGCTACAGCTGGTGGTGTAGTTTTCTCTGCCTTCTTCACAGTCTTCAGGTACTTGACTACCCCTGCCATCTTTGTGCCTTCTTTTGGCTGCTTGGTGAGCAGGTACTTTACATAGCTCTGGTGCTTTGGCAGCTCAGATGACCCTAGCTCAAGCCAGGTCATTGATCTGAACTGACCAAAGTCCACCAGCCTATGGAACTCCTGCCCTGTCTCCTCCACCTTTTTGGCAGCTGCCTCCCTTAGCTCCTTTTGCCTCACCTCCTCTTGGATGAGGGGGAAGCTAAGGGCGTACTCCACGAACTTGTGCTTATTGATGGCCAAGGCACTGGTAGGGTTGGAGTTTTTTTCATGTCGGGTGACACTGTACACTAGTGTAACAACCCACCCACAAACATTTTCAAGGAGCCATTGAAAAGTTTGACCATTGAATCTGCCAAATTCAATGGTTGTCTGGCTAAGGACATGGGTGGGGTTGTTAATGTCACCCTTCAACTTGGCAACCCTACCTCGTGCCTCTTCCTCCACTACAGCAGGGTTTCTGGCCTTGCTGTCCTTGGCTGTCAAAGCAAGAGCCTCGACAGAGTCGGACAGCCTAAGGCAGTGCTTGTCCCATTTGAGTAGGGAGGGCTTGAATGGGGCCATAATAGCTACAACCGTGGGAAAAAAAGGGACACAACAACAAAATAAGTTACAATTAGGATAGTAGAGTTACCTCGCTTTGTTTTAAAACATTTATGGTAACGATATCACCTACATCATTTTTATTTGAATTACTTTCGATAATAGCATTAATGTAGACATTAAAAATAATTAATAATTAACTGACCTGTTTGTGATAGATAATCAACGAAAAAAACCAAAATGGTTATTGACGCAGTCAAATAACGTTGGTCTGGAAGAACAGTAAAATAAAAAGTAAAAAAAAAAAAGGTTCCAAGCGCATAATATATTGAAAACACCCCCCCCCCCCCCACACCTTAAGTCCACACGATGATAAACAAGGCTACATCTAAATACCTGTAAAAAAAAAAAAAAACCCGCCAACTACACACGCGATAAATGAGTATGAGTGCATGCACACCCTTCATACTGTTTAAGTCTTTATCGAATAACAACACTTACAATTTTAAGACTTTAATAAACTTGAATATAGAAAAACACAGTTCTGCCACAGAGCACAAGTCTAGCATTCAACTAAGTAAATTTATTCACGCGGCCCCAACTTCACCCTAAGGTAACCCAATCCCAGCAGTCCCGTGAGGGAGGCTGAGTGTCTAACCTGTGCATGCATAAATTAAATCGAACTCTTTACGACTGGGACAACTACAACCTATACACAATTGTATCGCGCGTGGGGGATGTGCAGTCCAACACACTCAAGACTATTCCTATTACAGCTTTCCTATTCTAAACTCAGCTAATGCACATCTTAGGCGGTTGCTTTCAATAAATTATTTATTTAATTAGGCTCAGGCTTAGCTAAGCACAATTGATACCCTAATGTTGACATAATACATTCATGTACTAATATATAATAAAACAATTATCCTATTGAAAAAGTCATTACTTACCTGCTGAGATAACTGAGCCGGAACAAATAGCCGCCGCAACAACGAAGAAAGCGTGCTGCCAGGTGTGTGTACGTTGCGCAATCAAGCGTAGCAATCAAGCGTTGTCTCAAGAGGCCGAATACAATGCCCTAAGGCTATTTATACTAATGTGCGGACGTATCGGAGAGCATCTACGATTTGTGTCAATTTTTGATATCGAGACTGATTGACTTGCAGACTAATTGTATCGAAATGTGCGATTTCCCCTACAGTTTTATTTTTATTAAAAATCGAAGAGGATGTTCTAAAACTTAAAAATTGCACCCTAAGTAGCCCCCAAAAAGTTCTATCTACCTGTATTTTTTTTTAATTTTTAACTATTGTAATTAACTTTTAAAAATTATAAAACGCGTACATTTTACATGATGCGATGCTTATTAGCAGAGATATAATTAGTTTTACTTTTCAACCTGTCATCTTTTGAGACTTTGTTCATGTTTTATTAATACACCTTTATAGGCTTCTAATAAAAACCCACAAGGCATTGACTGAAAACATACCGTTTTAAAGATATTACTGATTTAGTATCTTATTATGAGCACAAAACTAATTAGGTCATCATCCCAATGCGTATAAATATCTAAACTTTATAGGCTATTAAAAATATAGGCATTTTGCTAATTAATCTGCTTTGATACTGAGTTTGGCGCAATGGATAGACCGTATGTTGCGGTGTTATTTAATTTTTATTTTTATATTCATTTTTTCCTTGCCATAGTTGTATTCTTTTGGTTTAAAGCTTTTAAAGTAATGATTCTACGGTTAAACTCAGGTTTAGGTACGTGCATAGTATAAACTTCAAACAATATTTGTATTACTGGACTACGACAACCCTGGTCCACTGATACACCCGTGTTTATTAACTCTCCGTCTTTCTCTTCCACCCCCTCCCCGTTCCCATTCTTAAAACACGCGCGTCTGTTATTTTTTTTTTCCGTTTTACCAGGCCTAAGCAATGCGATAGCGTAAGCCGCACCACTTCCTGACCGAGATCGCTTTGGCAATACATTCGCGTTAAGAATATAGTTCCTTCCAATTTTTGTTTATCTTATTTATATATCTGCAGAGGAAAAATACACGTAAAAAACGTTTAATATTTAACATTGGAGATAAATGTTTCATCATTTCAACTCTAAACTCTTTTTTGGAAAGTATAATGTCGATAGCATTCCGATATTCACTACACAGTAGAATCTAGCAGTTGACCTAGATTGTTAAATCTAGTTGACCTAGATAACTAAATCTAGTTTTCGTAAGGTTAGCAGAATGTACACGTTTGCCTTTCATTTACTGATTAATTTCTAGTAATAATGAATATGTATTGTGATTTTTCTTGCTTCAATTCTAGTTTTAATGCTCAGTATCCTTTTTAATTAATAAATAACACACTCGAGTCGATCGGAGCCGCATCACAGCTTAGTCTAGTTATCATTCTTATCGAATGCGCGTCTGAAAAAGTACCAAAACATTTTAATAGACACCTTAAGTTTTATTGATAATCAGAACTAAAATACTAAACAAAATCAATAAGCAATAAAGTTGGGGTTGTAAAACAGTTTTAATTGTGATTAAGCATGTTTCATTTCTCTATCGATTCGAATCGGCTTCGCGACGCCATCGCTGAGAGCTCCTTCATAGCCTGAGTAGCCGGGCAACCGGCCAGCCAATCAGATTGCCACGACCAATTTCCAATTTTACAGAGAAGAACAGAATCAGCTAGGCGCAAGGATGACACGCAAATTCGTGAAGCGTTCCATATTTTTTGTTTAAAATGCAATGCCGATAGATAATTCACCTAGAACCACCCCCCCACATTCAATAAACCACCGTACTGGATTAGGTATTTGTTGAATACTTATGAATGTGTACAGTCCCACTTCAATGTGATCTGCTGCGTCTTTGTACAGAGAAGAATGTGTAGGTTCCCTACCCAATACAGTTTCGTATTGTTCTCTGTAGCAGTAAAATTGGAAATTGGAAATTGGTCAGCGGCCGAGCGTCTAAGCGGCGGTGATGTCATTCCTCTGCGTAAGCGCGCCGGTGGGCTAGTCGCGCGTGTGCTTTCACCGTAAGCGCGGCGGTGACCTGTAGGTAAGATAAACATGTGAAATGATTTGATAAGAGGTTGATCATTTACCTTTGGTTTAACTAGAATAATTTTGTTTTTTATTTCAACATAGAAACAAAAACGAAATGCAATGCGAAAACACGGTCGATTTTGTTTATTGATAAAAATGGGTCTGAATCGAGTACATCTTTGTAAAAGCAGTACTATTGGACTGTGAAGAAGGCGTTGCTCAAAGTAACATGATCTACGCCCATAAAACACAACGGCTTATTTAGGCATCGCTGTGAGAGCAAGATAGAACGTTGCTGATTTCAATTTGTTTTTCAGCAGGGTAAGCTTCTCTGTTGACTAGGGGGACAGCGTTCGTTCTAGTCGGCAGGGTTGTCTCTGGTTTCTCTGCCAACCATTTTATATTCAAGGGAGGTAACCGATACATGCGGAAAAACAGGATATGTAACTCTGTTTGAGATGATTGTCATAATTACCCCATCTGTCCATCCGAATTCGACGGGGTTTCCAACAAAAGACAACAGAACAGTTGTTGATCCTGCACATTTCAAAGAAAAAGACGTTCTTCAAAATGCAATGCACACTGTAAATATGGTGTTTGTGCTAAATAAATGTCAAAAGGACGATTGGTGGCTTATTCAACATTCAGCACACATTCAGAATGGTGCGATATGGGTTTTCCCTATAAATACATGACCAAACTGAGCTACTGTGTACTGTTAACGCAGTACATATATTAAAATTGGAACGATACAGAGAAGATTAGCATGGCCCCTGCGCAAGGATGACACGCAAATTCGTGAAGCGTTCCATATTTTTTGTTTAAAATGCAATGCCGATAGATAATTCACCTAGAACCACCCCCCCACATTCAATAAACCACCGTACTGGATTAGGTATTTGTTGAATACTTATGAATGTGTACAGTCCCACTTCAATGTGATCTGCTGCGTCTTTGTACAGAGAAGAATGTGTAGGTTCCCATGCGCAGGGGCTGGTTTATCTTGTTCTTAAAAGTCGTGTTTCTGTACCTTGTAAATCATAAATCACACACAAATACGTGTATGTGTTGAATAGCTGCTTTCGTACAGAACCCTGCTTCAATCCGGCTACTAAGTCTTTATACAGAGAAGAAACTTCTCGTTGCTAAACTATTCATTTTCATTTTGTTTTATTTAGCAGTGAAATTGAAAATTGGTTGTCCCGTTCTAGTTCGTCAGCGACCGTGCGTCTTGGCGGCGGTGATGTCATTCCTCTGCGTAAGCGCACCGGTGGGCTAGTCGCGCGTGTGCTTTCACCGTAAGCGCTGCGGTGACCTCAATGTAAGATAAACATGTGAAATCATTTTGTTAAAGGTTGTTTATTTAAATACTTTATTAACTTCAATAATTGTATTGGTATATATACTTAGCAATACACGTGCAAAAACAAGGGCGAAATGAAGTAAAATTGAAAAGAATATTAAAATAGAAAAATATGCTATAACATAATGTTGGGCGATGGGCAAAGTGTTGGAGGGTTGTAGAACATTATCAACTTTCAGGCAGAGAAGAATATGCAGGTTCCTGTGCGCAGGGTCTGGCTCTTCGGGTAAGATTAGCAGGAGTGGAGTTTCTATTTAATTTGACTCAACTGGGAAAAGTCCACCTGTTTCTGAGACTTCTCTTTGTTAGTTCTGTATACTTTTTTCCTTATAACTTAAAGTTTGTAAGAAATTAAATATTCCGGTTTATCTGTAAGTATGTTTGAAAATATGTTGGTTGCATACACAGACATTTATACTAAAGAACATAATTAATAAATTATAACAAGAAAAAAACCCGGTATATCAGCTGGAGATAGATGTGTTAGAATTTCAAAATAAAACACGAATACAAATGCCTTTAATAACATTCTATCCCCCTTTCTCCTCCCACCTATTTTTTTCTCTACAGCACTAAATTCATATATAAACATCAATTTGTTAATTAGGGACACACATGGGATCGTTAATATGTTTTTTAAACATAGTTTTTAAATTTTCAATTTTTTGTAACTTATGGTTGAGCATAGGCCATTTACGACGTCTATCTTGTTTTTCGTTGTCTGTTTTGTCATCTATTTCTTTCATTAATTTATACTTCTTTTTCAATAACAGATAACATGTAGTCTTTTTCCTTTTTTTAAGTCGTGTATTACATGATATTCATTGTCTGGTACAACGTTTGCGCAAGACCCTGTTTGCCATGTTAATTAATTTCGTGTCCATTGTACTTTATAAATCATACATCACAATAGAATAACAGGTTGAACACCTACGTTTGTACACAATTCTTCTTCAATTCGGCCACTACGTCTTTTTACATTAAAGAAACTTCACGTGCCTTATCCCATAAATTTTCGTTTTGTTTTTTTTAGCAGTTAACTTGAAAATTATTGGTCCTTGCATTTTAGTTCTTCAGTGAACCAGAGCCTTAAAGGCGGTGATGTCATTCCTCTGCGTTAGCGCGCCGGTGGGCTAGTCGCGCGTTTGCTCTCACCGTAAGCGCGGCGGTGACCTCAATGTAAGATAAACTTGTGAACTTATTTTTATTAAAGTTTGTTTATTTAAATTTATTTTAATTTCAATAATTGTATTTGTATATATACTTAGAAATACACGAAATGCAGTGCGAAAACAAGGGCGAAATGAAGTAAAATTGAAAAGAATATTAAAATAGAAGAATATGCTTTAACATAATTTTGGGCGATGGCCAAAGATTGGGAGGGTTGTAGAACATTATCAACTTTCAGACAGAGAAGAATATGCAGGTTCCTTACCCAATACAGTTTCGTATTGTTCTCTGTAGCAGTAAAATTGGAAATTGGAAATTGGTCAGCGGCCGAGCGTCTAAGCGGCGGTGATGTCATTCCTCTGCGTAAGCGCGCCGGTGGGCTAGTCGCGCGTGTGCTTTCACCGTAAGCGCGGCGGTGACCTGTAGGTAAGATAAACATGTGAAATGATTTGATAAGAGGTTGATCATTTACCTTTGGTTTAACTAGAATAATTTTGTTTTTTATTTCAACATAGAAACAAAAACGAAATGCAATGCGAAAACACGGTCGATTTTGTTTATTGATAAAAATGGGTCTGAATCGAGTACATCTTTGTAAAAGCAGTACTATTGGACTGTGAAGAAGGCGTTGCTCAAAGTAACATGATCTACGCCCATAAAACACAACGGCTTATTTAGGCATCGCTGTGAGAGCAAGATAGAACGTTGCTGATTTCAATTTGTTTTTCAGCAGGGTAAGCTTCTCTGTTGACTAGGGGGACAGCGTTCGTTCTAGTCGGCAGGGTTGTCTCTGGTTTCTCTGCCAACCATTTTATATTCAAGGGAGGTAACCGATACATGCGGAAAAACAGGATATGTAACTCTGTTTGAGATGATTGTCATAATTACCCCATCTGTCCATCCGAATTCGACGGGGTTTCCAACAAAAGACAACAGAACAGTTGTTGATCCTGCACATTTCAAAGAAAAAGACGTTCTTCAAAATGCAATGCACACTGTAAATATGGTGTTTGTGCTAAATAAATGTCAAAAGGACGATTGGTGGCTTATTCAACATTCAGCACACATTCAGAATGGTGCGATATGGGTTTTCCCTATAAATACATGACCAAACTGAGCTACTGTGTACTGTTAACGCAGTACATATATTAAAATTGGAACGATACAGAGAAGATTAGCATGGCCCCTGCGCAAGGATGACACGCAAATTCGTGAAGCGTTCCATATTTTTTGTTTAAAATGCAATGCCGATAGATAATTCACCTAGAACCACCCCCCCACATTCAATAAACCACCGTACTGGATTAGGTATTTGTTGAATACTTATGAATGTGTACAGTCCCACTTCAATGTGATCTGCTGCGTCTTTGTACAGAGAAGAATGTGTAGGTTCCCTACCCAATACAGTTTCGTATTGTTCTCTGTAGCAGTAAAATTGGAAATTGGAAATTGGTCAGCGGCCGAGCGTCTAAGCGGCGGTGATGTCATTCCTCTGCGTAAGCGCGCCGGTGGGCTAGTCGCGCGTGTGCTTTCACCGTAAGCGCGGCGGTGACCTGTAGGTAAGATAAACATGTGAAATGATTTGATAAGAGGTTGATCATTTACCTTTGGTTTAACTAGAATAATTTTGTTTTTTATTTCAACATAGAAACAAAAACGAAATGCAATGCGAAAACACGGTCGATTTTGTTTATTGATAAAAATGGGTCTGAATCGAGTACATCTTTGTAAAAGCAGTACTATTGGACTGTGAAGAAGGCGTTGCTCAAAGTAACATGATCTACGCCCATAAAACACAACGGCTTATTTAGGCATCGCTGTGAGAGCAAGATAGAACGTTGCTGATTTCAATTTGTTTTTCAGCAGGGTAAGCTTCTCTGTTGACTAGGGGGACAGCGTTCGTTCTAGTCGGCAGGGTTGTCTCTGGTTTCTCTGCCAACCATTTTATATTCAAGGGAGGTAACCGATACATGCGGAAAAACAGGATATGTAACTCTGTTTGAGATGATTGTCATAATTACCCCATCTGTCCATCCGAATTCGACGGGGTTTCCAACAAAAGACAACAGAACAGTTGTTGATCCTGCACATTTCAAAGAAAAAGACGTTCTTCAAAATGCAATGCACACTGTAAATATGGTGTTTGTGCTAA